CAGCAAAAAGATCGATAGCCTCAGTAACGAAATCCTGAAGCTCAAAAAGAAGGTATCAAACACAGTACATATTCTCACCCAGTTCATGGAAAAACTGCAGTTTGTAGAAGCTGAAAACGAAGGCAGAAAGGCTGAACTGGTGGACATTGAGATCCTCTTGTCACAAAAGAGAGACATTCTGGCCAAAACAAAACAGGACGGAGACAGTCTGCAGAGAAACTATCTGAAATTGCAGCAGAAACGTGGCCTGCTTGGAAATGAGATCCTGCTTCAGGACTTTGAGGAAAAAGTGGATACTGTAGAGGTGCTAAGACAGCAGTTAGAAACACTGAAAAGTCACCATGCTAGTCTGATCCTTACTTGTAGGGGAATTCAGAAAAAAATGAAGGAAGCCGATTCCTTTCCTTGCTGAGGATGACTTGAAGAACAGAAAGTATGGAAAATAAATAAATTTTCTGTAATTCAGATTTTTTTAATGTGCTGCTTTTTGCTAAGTCTTGGGGAATACATTATGCATGTACTCCCAAAAAGCCTTTTCTAAGCGACATGCCAGTATTATGCATTTGGTGATTACAGTACTCATTTTGAATTAAACTACATGCACGTCTGCCTTAACAAAAGCCTCAGTCGAAAACCTACAACTGTAGAAAACCATCTTAGCATTCGGTCCTTGAAGGGCCCAGCAACACCGTTTAAGAAGAGCACTCATCACACCCTGACTCAAATCCTGTTCCTGCCCCCCTCTGTATGGATTTTATAATTCGGTATCGACTTAGCTGTGCAATGAATACACCTTTCTTCTGGGCACAGTGTCAGGGGTAACTCATAGATGTGGCTGAGAACTGGAGAGCAGCTTATTGCCAATATCCGACAGGACTTGCACACAGCCAATACACATCGTTCACCCATTCTGTAAATACACTTGGCTGCCAAGTTTGCCTTCACAGTATACAAGGAGAAATGTTAATTACTTTTGCAGTACAAATATGTACATAAACCTTGTAACTCAAAACTAGTTTTGATTTTTTTCAGCTTTTAGGGGATACTCAGCCCCGTCCTCCTCATTTGTGGTGTGTGAAGTGTAAGCCCATCACTGTTCAGTTCAATTCTGTCAGGTTCAGGCCCCCTATAGTATATATCAGAATTCCAGAAAATAAAAAAAAGACTGAAGAAAAAGAAGAGGGGGCAACACACATTTATGACTGTACAGCTCAGAGCTTTAGCTACAGGAAGCAGCTTCCCCTTTGAAAATAATACGTTCTTCACACAAAATACCAGTAGATCTACCTCTGTGCATTGTTGCTGGATAGTAAAGGGAGACAAATGTAACTGCCAACCACTCATCTTAAAAAAAACCCACAAAAATCAGTACCTTTCATCTTGTTACCACCAGTGAGCTCTTCTCCCACTGAAGGAGCGGCTATCACACAAGTCGCCTCCTGGTGCTCCACAAAACTGTTTTTATAAATAATTAAGGATGATCAGCAGGTACCGTCTGCCCTGTTTGTATCTAAATTTTATTTGGATTTTTTACCTCTTTTCAGTTAAGTAAGCAACAGGAAGCTTCACTTTAATCTCTGAAATTATGCCTGTGTAAGAATTAAACCAATACTGCCTTAAGCACAAAAATTCCTTGGTGGTTATGAAACTTGGAATAAACCAAGATTTCTTCTTTTAAAACAAAGAAAAGGCATTTAAGCATTTCCGAGTTTTGCACAAGTCAGACATATTTACACCATTTTTTAGGTAAGAAATTTATGAGATCTGAGACCTAGTCCAGAGAAAGGTATATAAAATGGATTAAACCATGGGCACCCTAAGTATCAAATCTTCTCAATGCCACATGTAATATAACAGGTGTTTTAACTTGAGAACCCGGAAAGCATCACCAAAAAAAATCCTCCACCTGCAATACTTAAATGCCCCACAGTCCTGACTGCAGACAAGAATTGCTAAAGAGGTTTGTGAAGAAACAGGCAGGTTTGTTTCTCAATTATACTGACAATAGGTGATTAAGATAACTTTACATGAATTTATTTAACAAAACCATATATTTACAATTGAAAAAAGTTCCAGTTTGATACACATATCTAACAAACCAAACTTGAGAACTACATAAAACCAATTTAAATATGACGTACAGAAGATGTATCAACAGTTCTCTATATGTCATTCTAGTTTTTAAAACATTCAAAAATAAGCTGTCACAAGGTACCTTTTTTCCAAATGAAGTTCTTTACTAAATGAAATAACATTAATGATTGATTACTGATTGAAGTTGCAAAACGGTTTTATTATAAAGTGCAGGTCGTACAGAATTCCAAACGCGGTTGAAGTTTTCTGGTTTCTGCATGTACAGTGGTAGTTGCAGACATTTTTATTTTTCCTTAAACTCATATAGAAAAGGAAGTTTGCTTGATGGGGACACTTGCTCCATGAAAAAAAATCTCATGCATCTTGTTACAGATACTCTCAAGCACCTGAACAATAAAATTGTCAACATTTTTTACGCAATCCCTGAATTTGTTACAGAAATCTTCCTTAATAGCTAATTATGAGATTTGGTATGCTGCAAGAATCTTATAAAGTTCAGCGACAAGTGACTGTACGCCCTTACTGCTCATCTCTGTTTTTATCAAAATTCAAGCATTACCTTCAAATTACTGAGAAGTTGAAACAATTGCATCTTTAGGCAGGTGACTGTTTTTCTCCAATGTGTTTTGTTTGAAAACAAACTGTGCAAAGCTCCTTATTGCATTGCTTTTCTTCTTTAAAGAACATACCTTATATACACAAAGAAATCATTTAGAAAATATATACATTTTCTAACAACAGAAAGATCAAATCCCAAAACAAAATTAATGACAAGTAACAAACAGTGCACAATTGTTGCAGCAGGCCTTTTTCCCACAACTATGCCCATTTTTACTGTTACATTCAACACCTCTCTGAGAAGACAGAACAGGCTGCCAAAAGGAGAATGGCTGCAGATACCCAGTAGCTGAAGGAAGCATTTCAACCACACAAATGAGCCGCACTCGTAGCCTTGGTTTAAAAGGAAATACAAATGTAGTTGCAACGAAGACTTACAACGCAAAGCCAGTTACAGTACCGCCTAAAAACGTACACTGAGGAAAACGTCGTCTCTGTGTTTAACAAACCGTTTAAAAGCATAGTGCAAATGTTTTGGGTGGTAGGCCTCTTGTATCCTTCAAGGGAAGGCTTATTTGTTGTATTAATAGAAAAACTAATTTTAAAAAAACACTTTCAGCTTTCTATTAGCGTGTGTTTCATATCAACACCTCGATGTCTATTTTCAGTAAGTGATGACCTAGAAGAAGTCTTATGGAGGAATTAAGATGGCCAACAAAAAAAGCCACATCTATCATGCCAGGTACGCATGAAGCGGACAGGAAAAGGTGCCAATGAGGTATGAGACTTGCAAGCTGCATTTGCACTACACTTCCTCCAAAGTGATTACGAGTCCTCACTTACCCGGGAATCTTAGTCTCACTCTTCTTAATATTCCAATCCAACTATGCCTCGCAGAACTATGTACTAAAGGAGAGTAATCTGATAATGTCCCACAGTCCTTTACATTACATGTTGGGGTAAGCAGTGTGCAACTCTTCATCTCTCTCTCCTTTTTTTTATTTTTATTCAGACAATGCCAAAATAATCAGCATAAAACAGACTGAAGAGCATTGGGAAATTGCTGACCACACAGCTAGAGGATTTAGTAACACCGGTTTACAGTTAACACAGATATTGCTTCAGTTAGCTTCCCTTTTCAATGATCACCACTATTTATAAAATAGATTTTACATTATACAATAAACATTCTTGTAAATCAGAGGCACCCATGATTTGCAGTTCAACATTCATCTGAACGCAGAGGGGATCTAAGCTGTACAACAGAAGTGTGCAACCGCAATTTGCCGCCTCTGTAACTTGCTCCCATGTATTAGAGGCTGGGGAAAACACCAGGGAATTACAGCTTGTACTTATCCTGACGGTATTTGTCTGGCGCATTCCCCGGTAAACTTCTTTCACTTGTCACTACACAGAGATCAGCCTCATACAATGCTTTACCGCTGTGGCAGCAGCAGCTTCAGAAGATCCCACAGAACCTTTTCTTTTCAGCAGCAACGTTGGCTTATGTAACTTCCCCCCTACAGCCTTCCCCCTCAAAGGTTTGCCAGCGAGCAGAGCTGGGTTTCAAGTAACTCTAAAAATGGCTTTCCACCATTTCTCAGTTTATGTGCTCAGCCCACAGTTTTACAGGATGACTGGAGATGCGGCACAGGAGTAAGTAGCTGGTTGGCAAGAACACCCTGGAAGGGCACTGCCCCAGAGGGGGAGTCATGGAAACACACATTTAGTAGTATCTGGCTTTAAACGGAGGACAGAGAGTACAGTTGGGAAATGATGCCAGCTTAATACTAGAAACTCCCGGAATTTCTTCCATATGCATCCAGATTGGAAACACAGATTTCCAAGGCATCTTGAAGAATAAGTGGTTTTGCACCGCTAGCGTGACTTCTCTTCCAAGAATGGAATGTATTTTTAGGTATACATGATTTCTTTGGTAAATGGGACCCACAGCATATAAAACAAGAAGCATTTCTAAAGAAATGGTCCTTACATCATTTAACTATAAGTTCCAGCACCAGTTATTTAAAATCCAGATCCAGCTACTGTTATAGGTATGGGAAATATGTCCTGCCTAAAAATGAAACTGGGGAACAGCTTTCAGAGCGACTGACACTGCTGAATTCCCAGTCTTAAAACAACAAAGCAAAAAAAAACTTAAAAAAACACCCCATAACATGGTTTAATTTCACTGCCCTCAAGTACAGAACATGTAACGCTGTTCACAGCAAATGCTCATTCCACTAAAAGTTTAAGGCTAAGCCTAAGTTTAATTTATAAGGGTTTTATCCCCCAATTTCCTTCCTTCCTGTCTGTTGTTTTTCTTAACCTTCCTCATTCTCTTTTTTCCTCTCTCCCCTTTAAGGCTATCCTAGTACTAAGCAAAACTCTGAAATAACACTTTGATTTGCAGGCTCATACATGTCGAACAGTACTCAATACTCTGGCCACTTCAGCTCGCTTCCTGTGAGTCGCCGGAGACAACCACGATTTTAACGTCTGAGCGAAGGACTTCCTTTTTCCATTTCCCGATTATCTTTCTGCAGAGCAGTCAGTATCTAGACATTTCATGGAATGAGAAAGAGAAAAAAGTATTAGGTTTAAAAAGTGACTCAATAAATCATTATCAGAAGAGTTTCCAATTTAATTATCTCTGAGCAATACTATTATCAATTGCAATCAAATTGAGAGAACATCTCCACTGATGGGCACATCTCCCATAAATCCTTATGGCACAGTAGATACAAACAGATTTAAGCAAAGGTTTAAGCTCCTTCTCCCACCAGTACACGCTTTTGAAGCCCAGAGATGAGATTTCTTACCCTGATCACACAAGTCTAGCACTATCAAAGGACGCTGCCCGAAGGGAAGCTATAGTTCTCAAGATAAATGGAACATCTGAAAATCACAGCAACGAGCAGCCTGAGCAATACTGATGCAATCTAAGGGTTCAGGACAGAATTACCGTAGCACCGATGGGTGCTTGCCTTGAGCACATCACTGGCTCCACATCTGCTTACATCTTCTTCTGAAGCAAAAAGTCTGCATTTGCATCCACACTGAAAATTTGTATTTCCTAACACCCAGCACACAATTTTGCTTTGTTAGCCCTCGTGTAGAGGGCACAGTAACAGCCAGTTTTTCGTGCTGTTTAATGCACTCCCTGCCTTATAGCTAGTCTCTGCTGAAAAACTCCAGCAGCATCCTCAAGAATCACCTTGGAACTGAATGTACTGAGGGACACTCAATCTCAAAGAATTGCAGTTACAAGTACAGAACCTTCTTTGCTTGCTCTGACCAACTTCAAACAAACCTCTGCGCAATTAACAGGAGGCGGAGCCACATCACGCACGGTGACATCCCACAAGACCACATACACTTCAATGCAAAAACACCCACAGCTGCTGCAACAAGAGAACTCAACAGGGGCCTGAACAGAGCCGCAGCTGGCTCGCTGCACAGCGATTTCTAGAACTGGAGAGAGATTTACAGTCCTCTTCATAGAAATTCAGGGGAAATCAACAGTTGATCAAAACGACTTAGGAGGGTTTCAAGTGCCACAGTAACAATGTCCTTGGTGGGGAAAAAAGTTACCTTTTTAAAGGAACATGGAGCCAAGATTTCAAGCGTTAGAGAAAAGCTAAGTCAACAGTCTAGCCTGTTGTACCATCTCTACTCCTCTGCTGCTGCTGACCAAGGTGTAGGTGAAACAAAATCCGCCCACATTTTAGTCTAAGGCTGTATTGGCACAAGACCCTGGACTTCTTTGTAAGTAATTCCAGAAGAAAAACAGCGTTTTCAGGTTACCTATTGAGAACTAGAGTCCTTGTTACTAGAAGTGCTGTGTCCATGATTTACTAGGTCTCCTTCCAGTTTTGTTTCCTGATCACATTGACAGTAACCAAGGGAAAATGGAGTGAGATGGAAAACACACCAGCCCATCTGATGAGGGAACCAGGACTGTGCAAACCAGCTTCATAAGCAGCCCATGACATTTTAGATGAGGTCCTACATACATCTCTAGACAGCATCAGGTCAGAATGTGACCCACAGGACAACAGGACCATATTTATCATAGTACAACAAGGTGAAAGTGCTTCTGTTTTGTTTTTATTTTCCTGTGCCAAGTACACCTACAGCTGAGATGTGTACCTGAATTTGACTTCCGAGTTCTACAGTGAAATATACTCCTACAAAGAAGCAGCATCTCAAGCTCTGCTGTTTGCTTATGCAGCACAGTTACTATAACCAAATGAGATGATCATAGAATCATTACGGTTGGAAAGGACCTTTAGGCTCATCAAGTCCATCTGCCAACTCCATGACACTAGAGACGAGAACACAAACCCCACTTTTCTAAGCTGAAGAACATTCTGCATCCTCTGGGAATGAATGCGCCTGGTCCGTCAGTCCATCTGAGAATTTATCTTGAAAGTGGTCCTTCCATCACTCTTGACATTATTTTGCTAATTTGAAAAGGCACTTCTCTACAGAAAATACATGGATACTACAGCAAAGCATCTGATTTCTACAACAGTAGTCACAGTCAGAAAATTTTCTAGCTAGGAAGCATCCCAAAAGCAGACAGACCTCTTAAGCCTTTGTGGGACTCACAGCCAGCACCACTATGAGCGCACCTGTGCAACCAAGTCACACACTACCTGTCTGTCCTAGAAAAGCAAAGTTCAAATTTCTGAATCCAAACTCTTCCTGGTGAATTTTAAAAGACTAAAAAGAGGTGCCATCACAGGCAGCATCTTTGTAATAGAAAACAAAATCCTGTAATTTCTTTGTCTTGTTAACATTTCTAGACTAGTTCCAACAGCGGCACCTCGGCAACTGAGCAGTCCCAGTGAGTGCACGATGTGAGCAAACCCACAGCCCCTACCCACTTCTGGCTTGGAAAAGGATGGCAGGCCAGGGAGGGAACAGGCTTCCTCATGGGAACTTACTCAGCAATGGAACTACCTGGTGAAGAACGTCAGCTGTTGCACAAGTCAAAATAGGCAAGAGGTTATTTCAACACCAACCCTACAACACACTAGCTCTCTTTGAGATCTATTTGCATCACTGTTTGAGAACCTTTTTCTTCAATTTGCCATGACAAGTGAAAATAACCTGACAAATCCCAGCAGAGACAGCACAAAGCTGATGAGGAGACTGAGGAAGACTGCTTGGGCTACGTTACTTGGAAGTCCTCCTGTTGCGATAATCACCATTAAACCTTCCCGTGTCGCACACTGAAAACCACTGGCTCAGAAAGCCTGTTACTTAGGGTACTTGGCAGAACAGGATCTCTACTGATCCTTCTCTGGAGACTATTACTCCAGGAAAGAACTATAAACTACAACTTGCAGCTGTGTTGCACAACAACTATGTTTAACACCACCCTTCCACTTCACTGCAAAAAAGAACTGGGACAAAACAGGCAGAGCTCTATCACAGCATGACTTATGAAGCAGCCTGTATCACTTCTTCGAAGAAAGAAGGAAAAACAAAAAAGGCGTTTTCACTCCAAACACTACAGAGTACATCCAACTTAACTCTCCAGCATGAATGGCTGTTACAGCCACATTTAAATGACACGCTTCCACCTTTGTTCTTTAAACTGGGATTCAGTTGAAATTGCAGTGATGAGACACAATTTCTGAAATAAAGAATTCCATGCTAACCACCAACAAAGAAGTTGGAGATGCAATCACTTCTGTACAGCCCAAAATTAGGCAAAATAGATCCTCAGGAATATTAAGGTGATGCCTGTATGATAACGCATCCCAATAAATTGTAATCTTCTCCCAAAGAGTGAATTTCTGCTTTTAAATGTAAGGTTGTAATGTTGCCAACAGTCTGTGTAATTAACCCGTTAGAAAAGCTGTACGATACTTCATCAACTCCATTCAACATTTCAATTGTGAAGGTTGACTGAGCATTCCAGAGGAAAGTAAGCTCAAGGAAACCACTCACCTCAGTGTGTACTAAATGCACAGAGTGAGCTACAGAGCCCTACCTACCCATAAAATCAATTACTAGCTCTGCTAAAACTTCTTCCAGATGTTACTATTTTCATGAGTACACTACAATCATCTTTTATCAAAGATTAATATCCTCTTTACCTGAGCCCACTTTTTGTTTCTACTTTGCATCTGAATGGCAGCAATAGAGGTGAAGAATTCTTCTGAAGGCAAGTCCTCTGGTAGCTTTGTTAAAAACTGGGCTATATGAATGAAGTCCATTTTGGTCAAAATATCTTCAAAAAGTTTTAATATTCCCAGGGCTGTACGGAATAAGAACTCTTCTCCATCACGGCAGAACACATCCCAGACACGACATGCCAAGTCCAGTGGCAAAGATTTGCTATACAATGTGAAAATCCTGAAAAACAGAATAAAATTTTCAGAGTTACTGGATGAGAAAAGCGTCTCTGACACAAACAGAACATCTGTAAGTTCAAGGCTTCTCAAATATTTATAACTTGGTAGTCCTTTTTTAAATTAAAAAATACTTCTACTACTTGCAGCACACCAATACATGAAACAACAGAAAACTGCACAACCATTAAGGCACCTTGCTATCAGCCTGGGTCCCAAGGTCACTTTTCTTGAATCACTCCAGAAGAAAACACACGTGGTTTTACGACAGACACGCACTGGGCACAAGAATAATCAAAGGCATATCTAATCATCACTTCAGAGTGGAGGATGGATGCAGTTTTAGTTGAGGCAACACAAAAAGCTGGACTTTAAGACACACTGCCTAGGGAACTGTGTGAACCAGATGAAGCAGTTGTGTAAAATTATCTCTGTGTTCCAGGCTTGACTGACTGGCAAAGTAATAACAGAAAGAGTTCTGGATGAAAAATCAGTTTAAACTCCAGTGAGTTGAGAGAAACAGGCAAGATGTCCAGAGAGAACGTGGACAGCTGTGACAAGGTGGTGGCTCAGTGTGCTTTACTCCAAAGAGCAAAGGTATTAACAGCAAAGCAAGAACCTCCTCCCAGTTCCCGAAACAGTATTTTTAATTAACTGCCAAGAGCACGTTTCTTACTTCATTAAAGAGCTACAAACGCAAAGATGCTCCCTACTCCCTTCTCTACCTGATGCTTTGCTCTAAGGCAGACCGGTTTTCACTGCCACCAATCACATCATAAGAGCAAAGGAAGAGAATTTAGTTTCCTAGAATCCCGTTATAGTATATAAGGGAAAAGAGTTACAGCCATTTTTCCCTTTAGATTTTACAGAGAGAACATTTCTCCACAGATCCGATCCATAGAAATCTTCGTAAAACTGCAAGTAATTCTTTCTCCGGCAGAGGTCAGCAAAGCCTCACATTTAAATAAAATCTTTCCACACCATTTAAGACAAAATTTCAAGTATGCTGAAATCAAGCTGTAGTTTTCTAGTGTTTAAGCCACACACCTATCCCTTCCAATTTCCTGTTTATAAAATTCGGGTTCACAGTTAGAAAATATATTGGAACAGATACATACACACACACAAGCATACATAGGTATAGAGTATGAATACATTTCTAATACAAATTCTAATAATCAGAGGTTCTCCGCAGCATCTGCTTTTTACCATATAAGATTATTTCAACGATGTGTCATCAAGTATCTGGCTTCTCTGTGAATCAGCGCACTTCGCAAAAATGGGAACATATACTCATTTTACAAGCAGCAAAACCAAACTAAACCATTTACACAAATTCAGGTGAAAAGTAAGTTGCAGGCTCAGGACTCTTAGGATTTTATTTTTTCCTATTTTTACATCACATTGCAATGTATTCATAACAAGTGGAAATAGTTTAAATTCTGTTCGCCAAAAGGCTACATTATAAGCACAAAAATAAGAAAATAAAAGGTAGAGTCTGGGATAAAAAAACCACTATTGTTCTATAAAAACCCACCACTATTTTACATACATACATGAATGTCTAAGAATAGCATGACACAAGGCCCTTTAGGTTACTGGCTGACCATGCATTGCAGACTTTGTGTATTCTTTCAACAATAATGCACAGTCACACACCATATACCAATGTCTTGCTACACAATACTTACAATAGCAGAATTGAGACTCTGTCTACACACACACACAGGAAACAGCAACAGCTTTTCCATTTAAAAAGAACAGTGTAATAGGAAGCAATTCAACTGAGTCCTTTCCTGGCCACAAAGCAGCTGGCAAATAGTCAGCCAGAAACTAGCCCTGATTAAAGAAAAGGAGCAATGCCTATTTTTTGATCTGTTTTTATTCACAAAATGCTATGTTATTCTGTAATGAATCATACCTAATGTGAATAAACATGTGAATTAATCTGCAACTAAGCAGAAAATTAACGGTCAGAACAAGTAGTTAGAACTATTTATTAAGACACTACTTTTTGCAGGAAGAGATTTACTCACATTGAAAAAGCCATCATGTCACATGAGGTATTTGACCTTGACCACCTCCTAATCTGGAAGGAAGCGCAACTTGTCTCCTTCTCTGGAGGCATTCAAAACCCACCTATGCGTTCCATTCTAGGTGATCCCGCTTTGGAAGAGGGGTTGGACTACATGATCTTTTGAGGTCCCTTCCAACCCTTAACATTCTATGATTCTGTGTGATTGCAGGAAATACGCAAGGCAATTAACTCTCATTAACGCTAACAGGGAATTAAATGTCTCAAGCCCTAAGAACTGAGACTGGGCCTCCTAGAATAAGCAATGAAACAGTAGCAGAAATCGTTCCTGCTAAGAATGGATATAGCATTTGGTCCATTCAATCATTTCCGTCTGAAAGATACTTTTTACTGGACATTTGAGCTACTGGTCTGAAACCCAGCTGCCATGTATTATAGTAGGAAAGCAGCTGCTGGACTAAACCAGTTACAGCAGCAGCTCTCAGCAGCACGAGCACAGTCCTTGCACGTGATCCGCTCTCACCGTACTGCAGGATGATGTTCTGCCTGCAGCTCTCTTCCAACTCAGTAGAAGTGCTCTGTGCAGACAACACAGGTGTCCCATGCCAGAGGAACACATACACATGCTACTGGCCGCTGACTGTACGGAAGAGGGTGGAAAAAACCTCCACAGTACAAGATACTCCTGCTCCTCCCAGCCCTGCTTAGGATGGAAGAGCACTGCAAGGTAGATGCATGAAATCCCAGCTGGTGTGTTACCCACAGGGAAAGTGCGTGACCAGAGTTATCAAGAAAGCAGAGCACTGCTACCCTGACAACCATAGGCTCTGTGTTTTGTTTCCTTTGTTCCTTCTTTTTTTCCTTCCTTTTCCTCTTTTTATTTTTTTAGGTACACCACATTTTGGACTGACAACTCACACACAACAACGCAGATGCAAATCACATCATATACATTCCTGCACGACACATCTTCTGCCCATGTCTCTGATAGCACAAAATAATTTCTGCAACTTCTGAGTTCAGTTGTGGAAATCAGTGAACTAATTCATCTTTTAAATTTATTCTTAGATCCTTCCTCCTTCACCCTGGTACTAATTTTTAACTGTTACCTTTTTCTATCAGTTTCAAGCATAGAGAGACAAAGAGTGCATCTTTCTAAATGTTCATGCATTACTTTATTGTACAGCGGCATCTCTGTTCTCATTAGCACCTGCAGAGTTACTGCACTAAGCTTGTGGGTAACAGTTTAGTAAAATTTTTAAGTCATTACAGTAAAAAAAACAAACCTGGAAGCGCTTACTTCGTTCCTTATCAGGAAAACCATAAATATTAAATATATTATTAAATATACCATACTGACTTTGACAAAAGCAAATGTGACTGCATTGTAAAACATATCAATGTAACGCAAATAACGTGCGAGTTTCTCGGCAATTTCCAACCAGTCAGAAGCACTCAAAAAGCTCTGCTCTCTCACCTAGGAGTACTATACAGCAGTGCAATATTTCACTTGATTCCACTCTAACCTGCAGTCACATAGGTGTGAGCACACCGTAAACTGGCTTGAAAATGGATCTTTTGGAGTCCAGCAACAGCTCCAATTCAAAAAATCAGGATGTCACCAGAAACCTTTGCACAGAATTACAATCCATTTTGGGGTTTTCTTCAAAAGGATGCATGCATTTAGAACATCACCTTAAGTTTCATTTTTGGGTGGATGGAGAGTTACTCGAGTGACATGGACTATGTTTTTCTTAATGTAACAGAGAGCAAGCTTATAAATACTTCACTGGAAGTGCCCACTACAAACATGCACACCAAGTGGCTCAGACCTCTATCACAAAAAATGGTGTCAACAGAAAGCCAGTGTTCATGGAGCACAACCCAGTCAATGTAATACTAAAGAACTACTGACCAATCCATCAGTACAAACAGAGCCCTTGGCTATAATTATTGCCAAAATCAATTTTCTGAGGAGGGATAAAGAGGTGTTTGCACAGCAGCAGCCGGCCAGAAATAGACCACGTGTGTCCATTGCAAACTCACATTCTGCTCTGCTCACAGGAGCCTGCGGTACATCAGCTGACAGAGCCAAGAGGCCAAAACCCCGCTATTCAGACACACTATTTCTCCTCTATTCTCTGTGATCTACACAACTCTCTCACACTTTTAAGTCCCTTCGTATTCTCCAAAAACAGCCAAAATCTGCCCAGCTTTGGAATTCTTTCTGTGAGATTTACTAGCTGGAGTTTGGGCTTGAAGCACAAGTCCTTTTCAGAAGAGATGTCTTACTTCCATCAGGTATCCACTGATGATCATGCTACTGTACCTTTTAAATGAGTTCTTCAGTCCTTGCCATTTTCCCATCACAGAAAGCGGTGGTGGAACCAAACTGACAGAAGAGCTCCACCCACTAAATCCTCTACCAGCCTCAAGAAAACCCAAAGCAGCATCACATCACCTGCGTAGCTGGGTCCATCTATACGCAGAGCGTTTCTTTTTCTTGCCATCTCTCCCTTCAGAACTAATTCAAGCAGACCAATCTGACTGCTCCTCCCTGCGGCACTGGGTACAGGAAGCAGCACAAAGGAGACGACTCACTCCACTGTAGCTGGGTGGTGGGAGCAGGGGAGTTTCCCAGCAACTGGCCCCAACAGGCTACCGGAGCCCCTCCCCGAGCTCAGAACAAACGCACGTTTAAAGAAAAGTAAGTCTGTCCCATAGAGATTTTTACCCACAACCGAAAGGTCTGTCTATTCAGAGCGACACTGAACTATATTCTTTCCTGACTTGAAGCACACTGAAACCAGAGTCTTATCTGTCCGGAAGCAGAGCTGTTCTTAACGGAGCGGTATCTGTACCACAGCAAATTCACTGTCAGCTGTGAGGCGCAGGGAACCTTATAAACAACATTTTCCAAAGTCCTTAGCTTTAGTAGTTACTCACTTGTGAGAACACAGACCCACCTCACTTTTCCTTACATCTTTTCTGTACTACTTCTTGGAACTAATGGAAGGGCAGCACACACAGTGCAATTCAGTGAATTTCCAGTGGCCATTAAAAAAACCCCAAAACTAAAATCTGCTTCTTACAGGACCAAAGTATTTTAAAGTAGTATATATATGTATGCACACACACACTTACATACACATGCACATACATGCACTTATATTTAAATATTATACCTAAATCTCATATAGACAGTGGAGTTGGTATTTAACTAACAAAATTAAAGACAGTGGGGCAAGCTGCCCAGTTCGAGAGAACTGTGAAAGAAGTTTCACATAGGATTGGGCTGGACTACCTCAACTAACCTACATTCCTGTGCAAGATCATAGAGTTGTGACTCTCTAGGGACGGGGAGGAAGCCAGTAAATTGTCCTTGGGATGAAAATAAAGAGCTTTAATCCAGATGCAGGTAGTCAGCAAGAAATGCTAGGAGTTGCCAGTTCACTGGTACAAAGACCTCAAGAAGCACCATCCACAATCACTCCTCGAAGAAGTTTCTTTCAAGTGCTCTTAACAACACTCAGAAGCAACAAAAGGGAGGCCTGATGTGCCTGACACATTCAGACTTGAACACTTCAGTTCTTTGCACATAATTCAGTCTTTTTTTCAATTTTTAACCTATAAATGTGCTCAGAGAGAACAACTGATCACAGAAATGTTGATACTCAAGAAAATACAGTAAAGACTAGTCTATCAAGCAAAACTGCTGAGAATTTAAACCCTCAACCTTTCACC